TTTATCTGCAGAGTGTGATTTGTCTGCTAAAATCAACGTTGGTTTATCTGCAGGTGTGATTTGTCTGTTAAATCAACGTTGGTTTATCTGCAGAGTGTGATTTGTCTGCTAAAATCAGCGTTGGTTTATCTGCACTGTGTGATTTGTCCGTTTAAATCAACGTTGGTTTATCTGCAGAGTGTGATTTGTCTGTTAAATCAACGTTGGTTTATCTGCAGAATGTGATTTTCTGCTAAAATCAACGTTGTTTATCTGCAGCGTGTGATTTGTCTGTTGAAATCAACGTTGGTTTATCTAATAAAATCAATATTGTTTATCTCCTCAGATCAAAGCGATTACTATAACATTCGAGTTTGATCAACAAATTAGAGTGAATGATATAATTTAAAACACGAAACAACAATCTTGAACTAAAAAAATTATGAAGCCCTCATTGCAAAGAATGGGGCTTAAACTGAATTTATTTAGGTGGGGAAATAAGGTTGTTTCTAATAAATTCTGTCTCTTGAGGATAACTTTTCTTTTGAATAATTTGTAGGACAAGTTAAGATTTTTTCAGAAGTACAAAAATCTTCCGATTCCGTTTATTAAAAACTACTTCATAAATTGACTATAAAAAGTGTTTGTAAACTCCCACAAGTAGCTCCGCTTGTTCTAATAGAAAAATATTGTTTTGTTCTAATTTTTCCCGCTAGGAGAATGAAGAACTTGCTCAAAAGACAAGCAACTTGTCTGTATACTACGAATCACTGCAGAACAATTTGATTTCACTTTTGGATCACGTAAGACTACCTAATTTCAATGAAAAACCGACACCTGACAACTTTGACACGTATTTATTCAAACTACAGACGCTCTGCAGCGACACCTATCGGGAGGACAACAAAGCAATATTCTCATCGGTGAAACAAGCTCTTCAGAATTTTACCATGCCTCTGTGAGTACTTATATGGCTCTTTCGAAATTATTTATTTAAGTAATCTGTCTGACATTTCCGTTAATTTTTGCATTTCTTTGTACTTTATTCTTAACATACAGAAACGACTACAGTTTGTTTCTCATTCTGCAGACAGCCCCCGACTGGATGGGTAAATTCTTGAAATTCTCCAGATAGGAAAACGACCGGAAATTACGTTTCGTGGTAGAACTGAACTAAAACCTGAAATGGACATCTCACTAGTGCAGGAGTATTCTTGCTGAAGAAGTCGCCACTTATTCCCTCAAGGGGTCGTCTCATTAGTAACGAAGTGCTCCTCTTTGTCATCTGAACTTTCAATCTGAAGGAACTCGTGGCATCAAATTGCACGTGTAGTTGCATTAGAAAATTCCAAATTAAAATTGTGTATAAATAATCGTAAATACAGCAGAAATAATTAAGATAACACAGAATAATTATATTTTGGGTCACAAAACCTTCAAAATTGATTGGAAAATGAAATGTAATATTACGTAATATATGAAACTGGTAAGATTGGATTGAAAAAAATAGAAGCAAGGCAGTTTTATGTACCTTGCCATCTGTTTATTTACTCATTAATAGACAAAGTTAATAACCTTTTAATCCAGTAACTAAAATATTCTAGTCAAATTCCAATATTTCTTTCAAAAATTAAATGTGTTTGTTTTATTACTATTTAAAATATGAGACTCACGAGGTTAAATTGAAATATTGGAAACAAGTATATAGTAGAGCAGTATTATGTATTTCTCTCCAACTTTCTATTCACTCAGTATTAGGTGAAATTAATAACTGCCCCCTGGTGGCTCAGCGATAAGTCTAAGGAGTTATTATGCTAAAAATCTAGTTTCGATACCAGCGATGGGTACAACACGGAGAGACCATTGTGTAACTTTGTGCTTAATAACCCAACAAACAAAATGAATAACTTATTTAAGCTAAAACAAATATGATTTTCTAGTCAAATTCCAATATTTTCGCAAGTTTAATTGCGTGTTTTCCTAAATTATTTTATTGTTTAATCGTTTGAAGGTATACAAGTAGTTTTTCGTTTGTTTCCATTTTTCAAGTATCCACAGCAATTTAGGGAAGCCACCGTTCATGTTATGTATTGTAATCTTCCCGCCTGGCCATTGGAAAAAATAATAATAATAGGTTCCTCTTTCTAAAAATATTGAGTAAATTGCGGTTTCACAACCCAGAACACTGAGTTATGTATATATATATATATAAATAATTTATATTTGACTTACAAAATAAATTGAACTTCTACACCAATCATAATAATATCTATGAAAAACCCTTTACTTTTTGCATGTTCACAAGATATTTTTCCCATAAAAAAACCCTTTACTTTGTGCATGTTCACAAGA